GTTTACATTAACAACTGTACTCGCTACAACGTACTCCATAAACCGTCTTAAAGATTTGGAGACAAACCTACCTTTGATTTTCTAGGTCTTCCGATGTTCGCAACGACTTGTTCTCATGCAATTCCTGCACTGCAAACCACTTTGGCCAAGTGCTGCTTGTTTGTAACCACTGTTGCTGATCGATTTCTAAGGAAGTACTAATCTCGCGGGAAGTAAATTTACATGAATCAATCCCGAGATTCGGACCCCACGTGTTGATATTAGCGTCAACCAATCAGAAAATCTCCTAGCGCTCTCGTTTAAGGTAGAATCCGATCCTACCGACGCGTCGACTGACGATCGGTCGACGCTCGGTCATCGGTCGGTCGACCGTCGGCCGACTATCGGCTAACCTTTTAGCCAATGCGTTGCCCGACGGTTTGCCCGACGCGTTGGCCGACGCGTTGGCCGACGCGTTGGCCGACGCGTCGGGGAAATCGGATTCTTTACCTTTACCCAGTTCTTCCCGCACGACATATAACCGCTCGAAAGCCTGAACGTTCCTGACCATAAGTTTCATTTTCGTTCCCGAAAGCGGAAGTCACTGACGCATCGTTGTGTGAAGGGACATTTTTAGACCCGTTTCAGTGTTTCATACGCCTGACTCTGACCGAGGGCTCTTTTCATTCTTATGTTCTCAGAGACGAGAAGGTTCTAAATTTGAGCCTGACGTAATTTTCAAATTCGTTTTTCTATCTCCCCACGTCAACGACTAATTTGGAACACAAAAGAGGTAACAACTACCCAACGTGGTCATTTTCAAGGTTTTCACACTTATAGCAACTCATGGAAAGGAAGGTAGTTGCCAAAAAAGGGCCATCATCACCTCGCAGTGAAATGTCCGAGGAGGAAGATGTATTTGATTACGCCAGATTTGAAGACTTCAGTAACGAAAGTGGACCTGTACCGAGAGAGGCATATGCTGCTCTAAGGAAAGGTATTTTTTGTCTTTCCACGATCATGGACGTTACATTTACAGTAATGAAGATATTACTTATGTTCTACATCTACATTTATTAGTCTTGCAAAGGGGGGTCATCACGCAAGACAATAATGTTTGTTAACTTGGCAGTATAAACTAAACGAGGTGCAGAGAGGAGGGGTTTGTAAGATTGAAATGGGATTACTGTGGCTTGAGGAAATGATCACAACTCATACATTACTGAGAAGTCACAGTCCCCTGAATTGAGCTGTCCTAACATTGAAGGAAACAGATAGCAAACCACGAATTCCTTCAGAATGGAGTTACCTCCGAAGAGATTGACAACTGGACTGCATCACAAGCACTTACTTGCGAATCATTTCATATTTCAACTAGTAGTGATTAGCTTTTTAAGCTTTCAATTCTTTCCCTGTGCTGGATGTGTGTAGAAATTACAACTGATCCAATTGAGTATTGGCTTGCCACAAATTTGCCTTGTACAGTGGTTAGTGGCAAATTTCCAACTGAAGATTTTAGAAATTCTGAGGTGGTTTCTGTATATCTGGGTAATGATGGAAATCTGTGATCATATACAGACACACATGTTAATGAGTGGCTGACCAAATGCAGTTTTGATAATTTGCTGAGTTTGCTTTTATTTGTTGATTCTAATACACCACTACCTAGAGGAAATCTTTATGTGAATCATTTGAACTCAAAGGTTAGCTTGATTTCAAACAGATTTCCACCTGAAAGAAAGTTGGAATGGTTCTCAACCATGCATCATTAAAAGCATTCCAAAAATGCCCAACATTATTAACAACTGATTCAAAGCAATGCTTAGCGATTTCTCATATGACAGTTGGCCAATATACATGATCATCACAAATTCAGTTTAATTTTTATGAAGGGAGATCCTATTTCACCCCCAAGCATTGCTTTCAAGGTGTGGATTTTAGTTTTAATTGAAAGTATTCACAGAACACTTAGATCAAAAAGAACATCATGATGATAACAAGAAAGTAACAAACAAGGCTTGGGAACAAATTTTCAGCAAATAACATCATTATTCATAAAATGGCGTTGGCTACTAAGCTTTGCTAAAAATCTACGGGGTATTTGATGCCTATATGTGAGATATTCAAACAGCTGTCTATGAGGTCTTGGTCAATATGACAACTTATCCCTATTTTAGTTATTGCTCTCTACATCATAGAGTTAATAGAAATGTGTTATTGATCTTATTAAAAATAACAAAATAAGTCTGGGTCCAGGCTTGCTGAAGAAGTTTAAATCAAGAAGTTTTTTCAGTGAGAATTTAGCCATCTTGTGTCTTTTGGTAAGTTTGGTTTGCCTAGATTGGGTGTTAAATTATTTTTTATTGGTGTGTGGTACTGACTTATTTCAATCCAAAAGTTTTTTTCATTGAGTTATGCTACCTTTCAAGTTTATTTGCCCCAACCCTTTTCATTTCACACTTCACTCAGTTTGATATTATTTTTTTTCTATCACAATTTTAACTTTTAAATGTGTATTCTTTTCCAAATACCTCCTCATCAGCATTTCGAAGTGTGGAGAAGCGTTTACATGTGGCTGAGGCAAAGGTATCTGAGCTAACCACAAAGTTAAAACAGAAAGAAAGAAAAGGATCTCATGAACAGTTGTATCAAGAAAGAGATGCTCTACTGAATCATTTACATAACAGCTATCTTGCTTTTGAAGAAAAATTTGGAGAGAATGAAAAACTAAAGAAGATAATTCAAGAATTACAGCTTTCTCAGAAAGAAACACAAAAATGCATCACAAAGGTGTGTAATTTTAATAGAATCTATTGTCGCACTCATCATCTTCAGGAACCAGAGGTTACCTGTAAATGTACCGTATTTATCCGTGTATAAGTCTACCCCGTGTATAAGTTGACTCCCCGTTTTCAAGGTCAAAAATCGGATTTTTCATAATTTCTAGCAAAGAAAAATTCAGACCGATAGAAATTTCTCAAATGGCCAATCTCTTATTTCTGAGAATGTATTGAAAACACTGTAAATTAAAAAGAAATGCAGAGCAAAATGTAACCGTGTGCTGTGAAGTTTAGTAGCACTTGTTTACATCACCACGATTCATGATTTAAGCATATACGAGCACTTCGATTTACTAGAGAAGTAATTTACCATAATGAAATCTTCATTTATTTAAATAACCTTTTGAAAGGAGATTTAGTGGACCAAAGGAACACCGAAGAGCTTCGAAGGATCGCTCGATGAAAACACCACCATCTTGGAAACTACATAACAACATAATTGGTCCACGCACGTAACAAACAAGACCGCGCGAGAAAACAGTATTTGCCAGGTCACTATGCTACTGTAATTGTTCCATGAAAATGAGAATTCAGCACCGAAAACAGCGGCGAAGCTGTAAGGAAAATTGTCTGCTCTACAGGTCAGAAGATACAATAGAAATCAGCCCCACTAGGTTTCTGTTTCAGGTCTTTGTCTATGATCCGTGTATAAATCAAGAGTAATTTTTTGAGCTGATTTTTGATCATAAAGGGTCGACTTAATACACGGATAAATATGGTATCCCCCTCTTTACTAATCAATCAGTCAATTTATCTGATTTTGTGTTTTCTGTTGTTTGTTTGAATTTTGAATCTGGGTCTCTTGATTGTGTTGCTAGATTTTCACAACCATACATGTTGCCGTTGTGGCTGTCAGTTTGACACTCTTAGCCTGCCTAAGATCTATATGACTTAGTTACTGTTTGAATGTTTTTCAATGTGTATGTTTTTAGCTTGTCAGTTTGCATGCCTGTTATCTTCTCCTAATTTCTGGCTACTTGATGTCTCTTTGACTGCTTGAGTATCTAGTTGTCCAATGTCATGTTTTTCCGGAGTTCTATCTGACTGTATGTCTATCTTTGATTCTGTCTGACTGCATATGTATCTGTCGGTCAATCTGACTGCATATATCTATCCTTCAGTCAATGCAAATGTATACCTTTCAAGTTCTATATGTTTGCTTGTTTGTCAGTAGGTTTGTGTGACCTTTCTGTAGGTTGGTATAACTGCATGTCTGTTTATAGAGCTGTCTGGGAGTAAGTCTGTCTGCGGGTCTTTCTGACTGCATTTCAGTCAGGGTTTGTTTGACTGCATGTAGGTCTGTCTGACAACATACCTACCCATGTACTTCTGTCTGACAGCACCCTGTCTGTAGGTCTTTCTGATGGCATGCCCATCTGAGGGTCTGTCTGACAGCCCCTCTATCCATAGGTCTATCTAATGGCATGTCTATAGGTCTGTCTGTTTGGTATGTCTGTTTTTAGGTCTTTGATGATTATCAACTAGAAGCTATGAAGGAAAGTTAAATGTGACTTGTTCAATATCAGTCTTAATTGTAATCTCATTTTCTACAAGTAGAAGACGAATGGATTGAAAACGTTTCATAATTTTTGCCAGGATAAGGGGATTACTATCAAAACGCCCTCTTCTGGAAATCTGTTATATTTGGCTTATGTACCCATTTACTTTGCAGACTAGCTAGATGCTTAATTGATAAACAAATGAGTGTTTCACTCGCCTATCGAGAAAAACTAGATTTTCTGTAGAAAATATTGTATTTTCTCTTTGTCTGTAAGTCCTGAGGTTTATTCATTTCTTTAACTCATTTTATAGGGGAAAGGTGGCGCTCAGTCCGGGCCAACCTCAGAGAGGAAAGAAACGCAAGAAGGAAAAAAATATACAGATTTAGTCGTGGAGTTGAAAGCAATGGGTCTAGAAATTGCAGAAGAAATTGATCAACAATTCATTATTTTAGTAGAGAGGGATAATCTGAAAAAGTGGATAGAAGAAAAGTCGGATGGAAATTTAACTATCACAATACAAGAAAAAGTTACAGAAAATAACGCGAACCAAACCGAAACAGTGGCATCTCGTGTAGTGGGATACGAACAGTCAGAAGGAAAAAGAAAAAAACTTGAAGCGGAGGTTATATTACTTAAACAGAAAATTGAGGATCAGGCGCAGGAACTAAATCGGTTTTACAAGATATTTAAGGAAGTAATGGTTCAAAATAAAGAACTACGAGCTAGGGAACAGAGGAACGAAAGAGAAGCCGGAGGGGTGACTAAAGGTACGGTTGTTAAGTTTTTATTTTTTATCTGAAACTTATCAATAAAAGGGAAGAGTAGATCAAGAGATAGAAGCAGAGCGGGGCAATTAATTTTTCAAATTTTCTTCTTTTAGTGTGTTTGTATCATGCTTACGCTTCCCATTAAGAAAGGCGAAAGCAACCATGTTACGGTCCGTAAACCTTCCCCCAAGCCACTGACGGTTTTCAAAATGCCGGACTATCAACATATCTTGTGATTTGTCTCGACTCGTGTAATCTGGTTCAGCTCCGACTGTGGCCATCATTGAACAAATCTGATCGGGTTTCTTCAACTTCATTTTTAGTTTTGTGTTTGTTGAGGGTCTCACCTCTGCATTTTGACTTGTTATCGAATGAACATAAGCGCGTCAAACGTTCTCTTATATGCGTCTTACTCTGAACAAATCTAACATATCCTTAAAACCAAGGAGAAAGAAATGAAAAAAGACAAAAAAATTGTTGAGATGGCCAGGACTCGAACCTTCTACCTTCGGATCCCATCGTGCTAGGTACGCAGAACGTACGTAGCGGCTAAATTCTGTTTAAAAATGCATTTGATGTACAGTACATTTAAGACATGTACTTAAATCTATTAATTTCCTGCCCTGTCCCTGGCCTTTCAATTAACCAGTGCACAAACTCTGTTCTAACCAAGTCCTCGTTTCGTCACAATTTTGGCATCGGCAAGAGCTTTTCAGTAACCCCCTTACATTTTACATCACATTGCTTTTTTTTATTACAACACTCTACAACTCTACAACAGCAGGCACATGGCTACGTATTATCCTCATCTTTTCTGTTTTGTTTGTGGTTTTTGTCGACTCATTTGGCAGGTTTGCTCGACTTTGACTTCATCCAGTTTCTCTTTCAATCAGACTCTCCCAACTTGAATTGTTCTTATTTAGTTTAATAGGGAAAAGTAAGGGAGGGATACTTACGATACATTGTCTAATTTTTTTATGTCTTCTTTCATGTCTAGAAGTCTCAAAACCAGAAGAAGCTCCGGCCGCAAAGAGAATAGCCCTGCCAACAAAAACAGGTACCGTAGTTCAGAAGCGAACAGAGACCATTTTGTCTACGGCCCAACAACAAGTTGCGGAAATGAAAAAGGTTCGAGAACACTTGAAATCACATGATAATAGCTTGCAAAAGCTGGCAGAGCTTACGGAGAAAACAACTGAAGATTTTCTAAAATTAATCAGAGAATCGCAAGCCAGGCCAGTCGGAGCTGAATCGTCGGGATATCCGACAGAAAGCCGAACTAGATGGCCGGTGGAAGGAGAGACTTCGTTCACTCAGCGGCAGCGAATCGAAGAAGTAGGAAACTTTGAACGGTTAATAGCCGAAGATGCCCCTCTAAGCATTCCCGTTCAAGAAGCATCGGAATACCACAGACTAACAGTTCAAGATGAAACTGGAGCAACTGGCGGCTTTGGCCGAAGGTTGAATACAGAAAAGTTTTTATCTCCTATCTCAGAGTCTTCTTCAAACGGAGCCGAAGGAAGGGCAGTTCCCATGGGAACGGTTTTGTCCGAAAACACGGGGACTGGAGAGAGTGATATTGAAGTTATTGATGAGGAGGATTTCATTGGGGCAACTCCTGTAGTCGGAAAAATATGCCCAATGTGTGAGCGCTTTTTCCCTGAAAGCTATGGTCAAAGAAAATTCGAGGATCATGTGCAACAGCATTTTGTCGACGATTCGTAGTGAGGAAGTGAGGAAAGTGCCTATTCCTCCATGAACTAATCGCCTTGTAGATGAATATTCTGTCTAAAAAAGCACATTAAACTATTAAACGTATTTTGATTGGTTCTTTAGTCGTGACGTATTGGAGGACAGACGCATGAATGACATCACCGTTATCCACATTTGCTTTCTTTTTTTTTATCATATAAAACGAATAGATTCCGTGGGTCTGGACAACAGTCACAGATCACATAAGACACCAAAAGGTTTGTCTGGTTTGCCACTTTTTTTTTTCTTACAACGTTTTGACTTCATCTAGAGGACTCGAATAATGGTACAACAGTATAACCCCACTACCTCGAACTCCCAAACGAAAAGTATTCCAAGTTAGCGTGGGTACGAGTTACCGAGATTGGTGCTGAATTTCAGCAATCATGTTAGTGATTACTGAGGAATCCTGTTTTTTTTTTTTTTTTTTTTTTTTTTTTTTTTACTATTTTTGCACAATCAGAAGCCCTTTTGGCACATTTACTTTGTTTTATTAAAGCGTGTTTATTAGA